ACTGGTGATGCAGGCACAGTCACACACGCTGAGCCAGCAGAGTAAGGACCAAGAACTGAGTGAACTCTACCACATAGAGACCATCAGTGACCTTGACAAAGGGCACTGGAGGGGCAGCAAAAGCCTGACCAGAGGAGGGTAAGGAAAATGGGAGGAAATGGAGAGGCTGAGGGTGCCTAGTTCTTCAGAGAAGCTCTGCTGCAGAGGGAGTGCATGTCTGGGGTTGGCAGCCCTGAGCATCTCACCTCGTGACATTCATGTCCTGTGTCACCCTCTCCCCTTTGAGTCCAGACCCTCCTTGTGATTTCCTTTAGCCAACAGGATGCAGGTTCCAGGTCTAAACCCTGCCCTTCTGTGCCCCAGGCACCATCTATAAGATGCCAGAGCCTCACAAGAAGGCATGTGAATATATGCCAGCTCAGGTCTCTCCCTCTTCTTAGAAAATGATTAACATCATCATGGGGCTCTACCCTCACGACCTCATCCAACCCTAATTTTCTCCCAAAGGTCCATTTCAAACATCGTGGATGTATGACTGCAGGTTCATTTTAGAACCAAGCAGCGTTTGGGAGACACATTCCCACTGCAGCGGCTGGTGTGCTGCAGGCTCAGGGATACTTGGCTTTTTGTTTCTTGGGGTGGGCATGGAGTAAGAAAGGGAGGGGAGCATGGGAGGAGGCAACAAGGGTGGCAGAGTTGTCCAGCAGAGCTGGAGAGCCAGTGACAGGGAGACAACTTCAAGGGCTGTCCACACTGAGGGTCATGAATCTCCAGTTGGGTGGCTCTGAAAAGCCCATAGACAACACACGACTTCTCTCCAGTTACCTTTGAGTGTGTGGGGACAGGGGAAGGGGACAGAGGATGAGCTACGTCCAAGCCCGCAAGCTGTGGCTGTGCCCAGGAAGTATGAGAAGCATGCATAATCTGGGAAGAAATAAAACCTGAGGTAATGCAACTTTGATTCCTGGGTCTAAATGACAAAGTGAGCCACCCAAGAGGGGAAAGAAGAGCAAAGAATGAGGAAACACAGTCATGTTTGGAATTGGCATTGTTAGGTCGTTGCGCTGGAGTAGGGATGAGTGAGCCTCCTGTCCTGTACCAGGGACAAACACGTCTGGGCGGGAAGGGAAGGGTGTTGGCGATGATAGTTAATGCACTGTCCCTCCAGGCACGGGCCTGACCCAGGTTTGATGTGGTTCCACTCCTGCCTACCTGTGGAAGAGAAGCTGCTCCTGCCTGTCCCTCTCCCCCTCCCCAGGGGTCACAGGCCCCTGGAGGCCAGAGTGGTGCTCCACGGGGCTCTTTTCTCCAGAGCGGCCTCCCTGGCCGAGTCCGGCACAGTGGGCATGTCTAGACCCTGCAGCCGTCCTGGAAGGGGTCCTGCCTCAGCCAGCGTGAGGGCCCAGGGCCTTGTTCTGCCAGCTGCGACAGGGACTCGAACACAGTTGGAAAGTCCTGGAGACTCCTGGGTCTCAGTTTCCCCATCATGGGAGCTCCAAAGCTAACAGGGGTCCAAGTATGTTTCCCAAAAATGGGTCTCCTCTGGGATGCACGACAGTCTGGAAAGTGGTGGTATTCCTATTTTCCAGGTGGGAAGAATAGAGCTTTCCAGAGGCCAAGGTGAAGGGGGTGGCCACTTGCTCACTGAAGTCCCTGCTGCTCCTTGGGTTCAAGGACACTCTGAGAATGCAGACCTACAAGGCTGGCTCTACTGTGCCAGGGCCACACTGGGGCTGTTTTGGGTCCTGGGATGCCTGGTGAGGAATCTGAGGCAAGTTCCAGGTATGATACCTCCAGGAGGGGACTGGAGGGAGCAGACTGGAGCCACCAAATTGTCAGCATTCATGGTGGGGTGAAGTTACAGAGTCCTGGCGCCTTCTAGGTGCTGGGAACACAATGCTGGGAGCAAAGTACGGAAGGTGGGGCCAGGTGCGTGGGGTCTCGGCAAGCACTGCTGATGGCAGAAGATGGAGTCCAGTCAGCCTCTGCTGCGTGGAGAGTGGTAGGGGTAGAATCTGGCCAGCCCCAGCTGATTGGAGGGTGGTGTAACAAGGACGGAGACCAGGCAATCACAGCGGATGGACAACAGTGTAATAGGAGTGGAGTCCATACAACTGGAGAGTAGTAGCTGATTGGAGAGTAAAGAGGGGAAGTCCAGACAGCTAAAGCTGGTTGGAGGGTTATATGACAGGGACAGAGTCTAGACAGTGCCTCTTTCTTGTTTGAGTGTCTAAGTGGCTACTGGCATCGCTAGAGAGGGTAGGGAAGGACCTTCCCCCACATCCTAGGCATAGCCACAGCTTGAGGCTTCACGCATAGATTAGCCTCAGGCTTCAGAGTCTGATTCCCAGTGCCCGGCACAGGCAGGGCCATCCATAAAGGTGGTGAGGGACGAAGTTGCCCTCTGGGGTAAGATCTCTTGAGGACTGCTTCTGGTTTCATGGAGGGACACTCTGGCTGAAGGGCTAAGGCCTCTGCTGCCCCACAAGACAGCCAGGCATGAGTCAGAAGAAGGCAACCCCCAGAGAATGGGAGGGAATGTTTGCAAATGACACATCTCCTCTGAGCTGATACCCAGAATATAAAAGAGGCTTGTACAGTTCAACAGTAAAAAAATAAACAGCAGTGTATAAGCAAGGGATTTAAATAGATGCATCTCCCAAGAAAATATACAAATGGCCAAGAAGCACATGAAAAGATGCCCAACATCATTAGCTATTAGAGAAATGCTAGCCAAACCACAATGAGAGCGCACAGCCCACCTACAAGAAGGCCAAAATACTGAAAACCATGGGCAATAACACGTACTGACAAGGACAGGGTCTATTGGGAACTGTGGGAGCATAAAATGGTGTGGTCACTTTGAAAAACACTTTAGTGGGTCAACAGGTAAATACAGAATTACGATGTGACCCTCCAGCCCCATCCCCGCACCTATCAGAGAATGGAAATTTTCACAAACACACAAATACAAGGATCTTCACATTGTTGTTTGTAACAGCCAGAGGGTACAGCCCCAGGAAGGAATGTCTGCACAAAAGGCAGAGTGCAGGTACAATGGAATATTATTTATCCATAAAAAGGAATGGCACATGTGGATAAACTTTGGAAACATCATGTTACATGAAAGAAGCCAACCACAAAAGACTACAAATACAGGACTCCGAAAAAAGGACCAGACTGGCAGTCACCAAGGGATGGGAGAAAGGGAGAGTTAAGTTGCAAAGTTGTTTTGAGGCGTAACAAAGATGCCCTACAGCCAGGCATGGTGGGCAGAGGCTGAGCCACAAGTTTGAGGCCAGCCTGGGCTACATAGTGAGTTTCAGACCAGCTTGAAATAGAGAGCGAGACCTTCTCTAAATAAATAAATAAATAAATAAATAAAATGCCCTAGAAACTGATAATGGCAATCGTTATGCAACACTGTGGATAGTAAACTGCCAGCTTTTGTACTTTAACATGATGAATTTTAAATTGTGTGAATTTCAAATCATAAAAAAGAGAACTCTTTGGGCAGATGCAGCTTTGCAGCTGTGTGGTTTAGCAGACAAAGGGCACACTGAATTTCAGTTCCTTTGGCCTGGTGCCTGTGTACAGTGAACAACCTGCACAGCTGTGCTTGGCAGCCCAGAGGTGGGACAAAAAGGCTTCTGCTCAGGTCTGGACCTCTCCCTGACCTTTGTGATCCACAAAAGAGATAATGGATTGAGAGTGTTTGCCAAGGCTGTGTGAAACCCTAGTGCAGCCACCAGGGAGAACAAAATCACAGGGGTGATCCCCACCCAAGCAAGCAAAACTAAGCCCCTCCCTCCTATCCTTGGCACCACACTGAGGTCACTCCTGCACACACCTTGTGGCTGCTCTTGTGTTCCTGCTTTTACCCTGGCATACCCCTGGGAGCCTCCTGGGAACTGCCCTGTCCTCTGTGCCTGTACTGGCCTCCAAGCCACCTTTCCTTTTCAAAACCTGCCCCCTTCCATTCCCATCCCTCAGAGAATCCCTGAGCACTTGAAAAACAGCCCGTCTCTGGATGTTGCCTGGCCTCTGCTCTTGAAGCCACCCACATTGCACAACTTCTACAGCCCTGAGGCCCCAACTGTAAGGGGGACTGTGCCACACTGGCCTGCTGGGGGCGCCACAGAGTCAGGGAGGTACAGAGCTCTGCCAAGGCAAAGTGCCAAGTGCTTAGGAAAGGCTGTTAGTCACTGTCCCTCACAGTGCTGGCATGTGTGCCTCCTGGGCCAGGGCTCACCGTGGCACATCCGCAGCAGGGCTCTCCTGGATGATCAGGACTCAGGGGTGGGGAGGCTGTCTTTGGAGGGCTCTCACCCCCTCCCACCTTGGGAGCCCAACCAGGTGCCAGCTTCCAAAATCCCAAAATTGTAGTTTGCCTGGGTAGTAGGTAGATTCTGACTCTCAGGCCTGACCTTACAGCTCATAAGATCAAGGGCACAGCAGGGAGAGACTTCACAGCTCTGTACCTCAGTTTTTTGTTTTTGTTTTTGCTTATAAAATGGCATTCATGTGAGTGCATACCTCAGAACATTCTTGAGAATGAAAATCAATGGAGGAAACTCTCAGTGACTGTCAGCAATGAAGAGGGGGATGATATATCAGTTATCTATAGCTGCATAACAAATCACCCCAACACTTAGAAGATTAAACAACAACAATACAGCATTGTTTTCCAGCCATACTGAGTCAGGATTTCAGTTCTGCCTGGGATCTCTCATATCTGAAGGGGTCAAGTGCAAGTAGCCGCTTGCCAACCCCGGTGGCACTGCTGTTGGCAGGAGCCCTTGGTCCCTCTCCAAGCAGAAGCTCTGCAGAGCTCCAAGCAGAGCTGTGTGGGGCCTTTCCCTGTGGCAGCTGCCTCATGGGGGGGGGATGATGTGCAAGATCAGCCAGGAGCAGCAGGCCGTTTTAGGAGCTGGACATGGAGGTCATGCACAGTCACCTGCAATATTCTAGTGGCCACTCACGTCAATCCTTGTTCACAGGTGGCTATGCAAGCAAAAGCACCAGGAGGCTCCATCAGAGACAGCTGCCTTGGATGACGGTGCACCAGCAGGGCCCTCTTGAGAGACACAGTGTGGGCAGCCAGACAGCACAGCCAGGACGGAAGCCAGGTGTGCACACCCACTCAGCCGCGTACGGCCGCCCTGTGTCAGCGCCTACATCTTCAAGCAACAACGTACTTGCTCATCTCTGCCCCAAGCAACCACCCTCTCTGTTTCTTGTTCACTGCCCTTCCTGCCCTGTCAGTCCCAACAGAGGAGAAAAGTCCCAAGGCCTGGCAGTCCCCTGAGTAGCTGGAGGGCACTACAGAGGAGGTGCTGCTAGCCTGGGAGCTAGTGGCTTGGCCCAGGTCAAGCCTGGCACTGATGTGCAGGTGCCCTGGAAAGCCCCTTCTGTGTGCCCTTGGCCCAGCTGCCCCTGTTGCAGTTAACCCTCTAGAGACCTCCCCAGTGCTCCGGGGCAGTCGCTATCCTCAGTGCTGTGCTGGGATCACAGCAGGGAATGAGACAAAGTCCCTCACGTTCAGATGGAGGGAAAGACCATCTAGGCGAGCAAGAATCACCAAGGAGGCAGAGAGAGGGGTGAGACTCTGCCTTTCTGGCAAACGCTTCTCCGGGAGCAATCAGGAGGACAGATGCAAAGAGGCAGTGTCCCTGGACAGCTCTGAGGAACACGTGTCCTGGGCAGAGACCAATAAGTGCAGAGATCCCAGGACAGAACAGAAGCTTGGTGCGTTTGCAGTGTGGACAGAGGGCCCAGGGAGGAGGTGAGGACCGAGATGACACAGGCCAGCTGACAGGAACCTGGGGGCCATAGCACGTGTGTGCTCTGACTTCCAGGAGGGAGGATGAGAAGCCCTGGAGAGTTTTAAGAAACAGCAACTGAATGTGGGTCCACAGAGCCTCCAGCCTATTGTGTGAGGACTGGGCTGCATAGGGCAGGGGTCTTGGTTCTTTTCGCTCATTTTTGGCCAGGGCCCTCAAATATGCCCCTGGAAAGGCGGTGTGATTTGTGACAAGGGAAGTGAGAATGTCACTACCTTATATGCTGGAACTAGGCTCTGGGTGCAACAGCCAGCCAGCTCTTGGGGGAACTTCCAGGCGCCTTCTCAGGTCAACAGGCTCATTGGCTGGGTTAAGCTAAACTCACCTCAGTGTTGACGCCCATGCCAGTCTGGTTCCCAGTCTCCCAGCCTCTTCCCCCATACCCAGTGTCCAGGCTGACCTGAGGGCTCAGAGTTCTGGGTGCCCCTCCTTCCTGCCTCCGGCGCTGTGCAGTCTCTTCCCTCCACCTGGAGCATGGCCTGTTCCACACCAGTTCTTCTTCAGCTGTCTTCCAAACTCTTTCTCAGCATCCATGTTCTTCATGGAGCCATTTTTGTTTCCTAGGATCATAAAAGCTTTTCAAAATATTTTTTAAATTATGAGGAAATAAAGATTTACCACTTTAACCACTCAGAGTATACAATGAAGCATTAGGTGCAGCCATGGTGCTGTGGGACCGCCATCCACCCTCCATTTCCACAAGTTTTTCATCATCCTAAACGGAAGCTCTGTGCCCATATAAAAGCTTTTAATGGAGTATGTATTCATCAAAACACTTCCAGTTAAAAGAGACAAAAATTTGAAGATTCCAAGGAAATAATCCATTGGCTCATAAAGATGAAAAGTTCAGGTTTGCTTTTAGACATGGCTGGCTCCAGAAAGCCAAACAGCACCAAGCATATGGCTCTCTCATTCTTTTAGCTCTGTTTCCTCAAGTGCGAGCTTCATTGTCAAGCAGGCTCTCACTATCTAAGTAGCAAAGTCAGCTTACATTCCACCAGCTCAGCAACCCCTTCAGGAAAGACTCACTTCTTTCCCAGTGATTCCAGAAGAAATCCCGGGGCTGACACTCTTTGGCTCAGTATGAGCGCTCTGGACTGTGGCCAGAAACCTAGAACACGCTGATTGGCCAGGCCTGAATCATGTGCCCTACACCCAATCAAGGAGGCCACACCCACCTTGGCGGTACGGCCTGAGGGTGGGGAACCAGCCCTCCATAGGAAAAGCAAAGTTCTGTCCCAAGAAAAAGGGAAGCAAGAACTGGACAGGCATTAAGCAACATCTGGCCCACCTCTATGGCCCTTAAAAATGCACTTCCTCCTGTGCTAGTCTCAGTAATGGCTCCACCTTGACTCAGAAGGCCTACGCCTGGGCCTGGAAATCTCCTTAACACCCTCTTCCCTGTTCTGCCCTGCACCTTCCTCTTGAGTGTTTCTGAAGCTCCTTTCCCTGCCAGCCAAGGTCAGGCCATGCTCTCACCTCCTGGATCTCTGGTGGCCTTCTAACCCCTCTTCCCACCTGCAGAGAGATCTTCTCTGAAGTACAAGCCTCCCCTGAGGGCGTCCTCTTCAGCTTACAAGCCCCACACCCCCAGTTTGTATCCAGTGGTGCTGCCTGCTTCCTCTGAGTTGCACCTAGGGAGGATGTTACCTTTCAAATGTTAGCCTCTGTGAGTCTTTAAGGAAAGTGAGGTTGATATAAGTCAGTATTTGTAGAATGCACAAATCTTCAGCATAGAGCTCAGTGCAGTCGTACACTGAGATACGCTGTATTTGCTCAGGTCATCATCCCAAAGATCAGAGTCCTGCAGTCACAGCTTATTGTCCTTCTTCTCCCCAAGTGGTTACCACTTCTAGAACCACAGATCACTTTTGTCTTCTCAAATTTACCTTGAGTTGAATTGTATAAAAGTTACATTTTTGTGTTTTTAACAATTGGAATAATGGTTTTGACTTTCCTCCCTGTTGTTTTAGACAGAAGTGTTCCTCTACTTTATTTTTTAATGGAGTTTTAAAATTTTTATTACTCTAATTTGTGGACTGTGGAGGAAGAGAACAAGAAGTCACCAAGAAGCAAGCCCTCCCTGCAAATCAGTGCCATGCGTGGGCCACTGAGGGGACAGCTAGCTGCCAGCTTTTTCCTGTGAGTCAGCATCATTCGTGGACTGTGCGGGAAGAGAACAAAAAGTTAACAAGAAGCCAAGCCCTCTTTATGAATCAGTGCCATGCATGGGCTGCTGGGGGGAGAGCCAGATGCCAACCTCTTCTGGTGTGTGGGCTAGGAAACTAGAAGAGCCCCTGCCACTGCTGTAAGCGACCGGCTGATCTGGAAAACACAGGCTGCAATTATGGCTATTGAGGTGGAATACAATTTAATGCTTGTAGTGTTTAGTGTCTCACTGATTTGCAGGTCTAGGGCCGGTGGTCTGATCATCTATTTCAGAGGATGGCAATACACAGTGTAGCATCTTTGGGGCTCTCCTTCTGAGGGTGGTGACCATTGTCGATTCCCTATTGTCTTGTTTTGAGGTCCTGCATCATTTTCATTGTCTTGTGTTGTCTTATGTCTTGCCATTGCCTTGTTATGTTTTGTTTTGTTTGATTTTATTGTATCTGATGGCATGGGCAGCTATTTCAAAAATAACAAGATATATTATGGTAGCCATTTTGGATTTACTATTATCTTGTTTTGAAGTCTTTTATTGCATTTATTGTTTTGCTTTTATTGGTTCTATTCTGTTTTGGTTGATTTTTACTATGTCTGAAAGTATCTGCAGCTATTTTGAAGATGGCAGGAGGCATTATGGTAGCCATTGTTGATTTTCCATTATTTTGAAGTCCTGTGTCGCTTACACTGGTTTGTTTTGATTAGCTTTGTTCTGTTTTGTTTTTCCTAGTTTTATTCTCTTAAAAATAAAAATAATTTTTTTATTACTCCACGTTTGCAGTACATGATGTTTACATTCCCTGCCTGGAGTTGGTACATGTGCAGAATTTCATTCCCTTGCCTCCTACCTGCTCACTCCATCTCTTGACCCTCTTCCTCTTTGAAAAATATCTATCTCCCTACTCCCTCTTGTCTTTCATTTTGCTCTTTATTAATAATTTGAGTTTCTCGTGTAAGAGAAACCCTCTGATATTTAAGCTTGTGTGTCTCATTTGTTTCACCTAATATTATGGTCTCAAGGTGCATCCATTAAATGACTCAAATTTATCTTTCTTTATGGTGTAGTAATATGCCTTTAAATATAAATACCACATTTTCTGTATCCATTCATCTGCTAATGGATGTATAGGCTACTTCCAAGATTTAGCTATTATGAGCTGTGTTGCTATAAACATACATGTGCATAGATCACTGTAATATGATGTCTGTATCTCTTTCAAGGAGATACCTACAAGGGGAATAGGTGGATCAAATGCAATTTCTAGTTTCAGTAATTTTTTTTTGTCTTTTTGAGACAGGTTCTCTCTATTCTATTAAGGCTGGCCTTGAGCTCACTTTGTAACCCATTATGGCCTCAGACTTGCAATGAGCCCCCTGCCTAAGCCTCCCAAGTGCTGAGATTACATGCATGAGCCACCACACCTGGTTCCATACTAATTTCCATAGTGGTTGTACCAGTTTACACTCCCACCAACAATGTAGAAGGGTTCATCTTCTCCACAACCTCACTAATATTTGTTATTAGTTAGATTTCTTGATGATGGCCATTCTTTATAGGATAAGATAGAATCTCCTAGTTGTTTTAATGTACATTTCTCTAATGGCCAGCCATGTCAAACATTTTTGCATTTATTTACTGGTCATTTGTACTTCTGTGAAATATCTGTTCATTTCATTTGCTCTTTTTTGGTTGGATCTTTTATTTTGAGGATCTAATTTTTTTGGTTCTTTATATATTCTAGGTATTAGCTCTCTAGGGAATCATTGGCAAAAATATTTTCCCCATTCGTTAAGTTGTCTTTTCATTCTGCAGGATGTTTTTATTTGTTTGATTCTGTTGTTGTTTTGCTGGATGTGACTTTTTAACTTGATGTATTCCCATCTGTTGATTATCAGAACTATTTCCTGTCCAGCGAGGTTCTATTCAGGAATTCCTTGCTTATACCTCTGACTTCAAAATTTTTACCTGTTTTATCTCCCAGCAGGTTGTTTGTGTTTTAACATTTAGATCTATGTATTATTTTAGTTTAGTACATGGTGAGAGATGTGGATCTAGACTCCAGTTTCTACATATAGTCACTTTCCTAAACACTGAGACTTCCAGGAAGACGATAGAATGGTAAACAGTACAGAAACAGCCTCTCCAAGATTTGGTGTCTAGGCACTAGAATATAGCAGTATGAGGAAGAGAAGAAGGAAGGAAGTGGGTCCCAGGACCCAGTAAGGATCTAAAGGGAGAACTGAATCTCGCAGGGAGAGTAAAGAGAGAGACCTTAAGTAAAGAAGAAGGTGGTAATCGGTGCTTTCTCCTTGAACCCTGACTCACTGCATGGGAGGGGAAGCTTGAACCTGCAGACACACAGTGATTACTGGCAACCTAAGAGGCCTCCATGGAGAAATGCACCAATGGAGCAAAACAGTTGACCCAGCAGACTGTGAGTTACTTGGGCTCAGACGTCTCCCAGGAGAGGCTGATCACCTGGTATTCATCTTGGAGAAGGGCCAACTGAGCCCAGAACACAGAGCAGCTGTGGGCTGGCTATATTTTGTGACTGAGTTCAAATTGGTAGGAGGTCAAGGAGCCAAGTTTAAGTATACAGGGAGCCGAGTTCAAGCTGGTAGGAAGCACATGGAGTGTTGCAGGCTGAACAAACTGGGTTCCAGACTCACATCAGAAAGCAGCTTGAACTTTAGCAGAGCTAAAGGTGCAGGCTTGCTAGGATTATCTACTACCTGACTTTAAATCTATAGCTGGCTTGCTGGGATTAATCAACCCAGATCTGGGCTCAGTAGTCTTAATTTCTTAACTTCTTCTGTGACCCACTGGTTGTTCAAGAGAGTGTTATTTAGTTTCCATGTTTTTATGAAGTTCTGGTGATTTGTTTTGACACTGATTTTCAATTTTATTTCTGATAATATGCATGGGATAATTTCAATTCCTTTGCATTTACTTAAGCATGTTGTATAAACTAGTACATGGTCTGTTTTAGAGATCATTCCATGTGCTGCTGAGAAGAATGTGTATTCTGATATTGCAGTGGAACATTGTAGACATCTACTAAGTCCATTTGTTCAAAGGTTTGTTTCTATTCTGATATTTCTTTATTGATTTTTTGTCCCATTATCATTGGTTTGTGACAGTGGGTTATTGAGGCCCTCCATTATAACCGTGTCAGTGCTTACTTGATTTTTCATATCTGTTAATATTTGTTTTAATATAGCTTGGTTTACTAGTGCTTGGTGCATATTTATTTATGATTGTTATCTCTTTCTTTTGGATTATTCCCTTATAAAAAATATAGTGATCTTATTTGTCTCTCTGAATCGGTCTTGGCTTAAAATTCACTTTGCCTACAAATAGAATAGCTACCCCTGCTTTCTTCCAGTTCCTGTCACATGGAGTATTGTTTTGCATCTTTTGACTTTCGGTCTATGAATTTCTTTTTGAATTAAATGTTTCTTGTATAAAGAATATTGCTGGATCTTACTTCTTGGTCCATTCTGCTGTCTGTTTCTTTTGACTGATGAACTGATGATTAACACTGATGATTATAACTGATGTGTATTGACTCACCCTTGTAATGTCATTTTCCTGTTGTTGGCTTCCTTTTTCCTCCCTCTGTTTAAGTACTTGCCTTGCCTGGTGGATTCATTTTTGGGGATTCCTAGAGTTGTAGTTCTCATTATCTCTTTCTAGAATGTCCTTCAAAATATTTTTTAGTGCTGGTTTGGTGGCTATGAATTTCTTCAGGTGTTCTTTGTCATGGAAGGGTCTTTAACTCTCCATCAGTGTTGAAAGGCAGTTTTGGGGGTACATCTATCTGGGCTGGAGCTTGTTTCCTTTTAGGGGTTGAAATAGTTCCCTCAAGTTCTCCTTGACTTGAGGGTTTGTGTTGAGAAGTCTGCTGTGATTCCAATGGGCTTTCTTTATAGGTGACTTGTTTCTACAATGAAATAATAATGCAAATACAACATGCTGGAACTTATGGGACACAATGAAAGCAGTCATAATGAGAGAAATTTATAGCAATGAATCCCCATATCAGAACCTGTATCTTATTAAATTGGAAAACAAAGAAAAAATGGACAGATTTCTAAATACATATGAACTACCAAGTTGAATCAAGAAGATATAAAAATTCTAAGCAAACTAACATCAGTCAGTGACATTGAAGATGTACTTTAAAACCTGCCTACAAAGAAAAGCTCAGCCTCTGATGAATTCACTGCTGAATAAGAAATTTAGAGAAGATCTAATGATGCCAACTCTCAAATTCTTTAATGAAATTTAAAGGGAAGCAACACTCCCAAACTCATCCTGAAAGCATGCAGTACCCTGATACCAAAACCAGGGAAAGATCCAAAAAGAGAACTACAGGCCAATCTCTCCAGTGAACATAATGCAAAAATCCTCAGTAAGGTATTGGCAAACAGAATGCAGTTAGTCATCAAGAAGATTACACCACGTGACCAACTACAATTCATCCCAGGAATATAAGTATGGTTCAACATATGCAAATCAATAAATGTAATACACCATATTAACAAAATCAAACATAAAAACCACGTGATCATCTTAATAGACTCAGAAAAAGCATCTAGCAAAGTTCAACACACCATTCAAAACCCTACAGAAAATTGGAATATCTCAGTCTCATCAAAGCCATCTGTGATGAACCAATAGCCACTGTCATACTAAATGGACAAAACTGAAAACTTTCGCTCTAAAATAAAGAATAAGACAAGCTGTCCACTACCACCACTCTTATTCCACATAAAGAGGGTGTCTCTCCTCCAACATAGGATTTGGGCCCCTTTGTCAAAGATGAAGTAACTGAATGTGCCTGGGATTGCTTCTGCTTCTGTCTTCTGCTCCAGTCTGCCTCGCTATCATTGCACAGTGCTTGCTGGTAGGAGTTCGCTAGTTTGTTCATTCATTTTCCAATACTGGTTACTCTCTTGCTGTTGTTAGGAGTCAGCTATTATGCTTTCTGCTCTATCTTTTGTGAGGATTTGTTTCCATTTCTCTTGGAAACATTGAAGATGGCCTTCCTGAATCCAAGTGCAGATCTGTGTTTATTAAGGTGGAGGAGCCCTTTTCCTTGTGTTTGTTCCAGTGCATCCCCACCAGCTATGTGTGGGGGTCCAGGGTTCCAGAGCCTCTGCACCCTGGAAGTTATTTATCCTTCTTGAATGTGTCATTCATTCTTTCTTTCTTTCTCTCTCTCTCTCTTTTTCTTTCTTTCCTCTTTTCTTTCTTCCTTCCTTCTTTCCTCCTTTCTTTCTTTCTTCTTTCATTTCTTTTGGTTTTTGAGACAGTCTCACTATGCAGTTTAGGCTGGCCTTCAATCCACTATGCAGCTTCTGCTAGCCTCTGACTTGCAGCAATCTTCCTGCTTCAGCTGCCTGAGTGCTGGGATGACAGGTGTGTGCCACCACACCTAGCTTCATTCCTGATCATTTCTGTCACTGTGGAGTGTTTACCCCCATCTTAGAGAAACCAGTCTCTTCCTGGCTTGGCATTCTGAAGAGTCTGAGAGCAATAACAGGCCTGTGTGCCTAGGGCATGGTCCTAGGTACTGTACTGTGTGAGTGAGCAAGTTGCCACTCACATCACCTGCCGGGCAGTGGAGGGCAAGAGGAAGGGAAGCCAAAGAAGCTGCAAGGGAAGGTGAAGGGGAACCTGTGCCCCTTGGTGCGACCCTGATCTTGGAGAGACTCCAGGGTCCCAATTGATGTAGCTGAATCAGTGTGGGGAGGACCATGCCCTTC